TGTTTTAAATTGTTACGTTGTAATACTGTAATCATTATTAACTGATTCAATAGTGTAAAAAGTCTCTACTAGACTTACCAAAACCAAGTAGCATCACCTGATATAATATTAAATTCTCCTGTACTTACTAACTCATCTAATGACCATATGAACTATGTATTATTGCCTTGCTATTCTTTATGAACTATGTATTATTGCCTTGCTATTCTTAAGTTAATCTTTAAGTTTGCCCAAAATACTCAGCATACAGAGGGGCTTTGGCATGTACACCCAACTACTACAATCCTCTGCAACCATGTAATTTGTCAAAATAAAAAATCTAATCTAATCTAAACTGTAGCTACAACTAGATAATAATCTAATGTATTCACTGCCCCTCTGTAAACATGTACATCCTGAAGCCTACCCATCAACCTTTTATCCAGCAATACATAATCTAACAACCTACTTTCATTGCGTGATATATCATATCTTGTATACTTATTTATCCTCTTTTTCATAAATTACTTATTATCAAATATATTACCATACATATGGTAAAGAAAAAATAATTTTTATTTTCAAAAATAGTTGAACAACATAGTTTGGAGTTTTTTATTTTTATCAGTATACTTATCTTCATAGCATCAAATATCATTTTGTAATGCCTGCCTACCTCTAGTGCCTCATTCAATGTTTGGATCCATGTTTATCATGAAGTCACAAGCATCTTCTAATTTGCAATTAACATTGACAGTTCATCCAATGTGAATTCTTTCATGGGCACAGCATTTTCTTTTACTTTATTTTCCTCTTGTTTCTTTGTATAAATGTTGCTGACCCATTTCCACAAGTGTTGCATCATCAAGGTCACTGGAATGCGAGTCAATACATTGATGCACATTTTCACAATCCAAAGCTTCTAATCCAAGATGATTTTCCCAAGCTGCACAATGTTTTCACAGTCTCAACATAGGATTCAAAACAGCAAAAATCATTGGAACAACACGGTGACACAGTGCAGGACGTCATCTTCTTCCAAAACAAAAATCTGTTTCAACTACCTTAAAAATTTGCTAGTCTTTGTAGCCACTTTCTTCGATCAATTTTTTTTAGATCATTAGGAAATCCTGCAGCTGCCTTATTGTCTGAACTGGCACTCTCACCAGTATTTCAAACATTATGGAGTCCCATACACTTTTTAAAATTGTAAAACCAGCCATGACTTGCCAAAAAACTTTCCCCTTCACTGCCATTTTCTTTTTTTAACAATGAACGGACCTGTTGCTTTAGCTTGAATCATCATCTTACTTAATGGAATTTTTTTCTATCTGCAGTCTTCAATCCACTACATTAACCCTTAAATGGTCCAAATGTATATATATGTTTTTTCAACATCTGAAAGTATGTAAAAAATGCAGATCATCTTTTTTGTTTTACATCTGAAAAAGTGTAAAAAAACTTTTATCTACATTTTTTTTTTTGTTATATGAGAGGTTTTTACAAAGCAGAAGTGTTATAAGAAGAGCAGAGTATATGGAGAGTAAAAGAAGGGTAAAGAGAGTGGTGAGAGAGTGCAAAAGGAGAGCAGATGATAGAGTGGGAGAGGCACTGTCAAGAAATTTTAATGAAAATAAGAAAAAATTTTGGAGTGAGTTAAACAAGTTAAGAAAGCCTAGGGAAAGTATGGATTTGTCAGTTAAAAACAGAGTAGGGGAGTTAGTAGATGGGGAGATGGAGGTATTGGGTAGATGGCGAGAATATTTTGAGGAACTTTTAAATGTTAAGGAAGAAAGAGAGGCGGAAATTTCATGCACTGGTCAGGGAGGTATACCATCTTTTAGGAGTGAAGAAGAGCAGAATGTAAGTGTGCGGGAAGTACGTGAGGCATTACGTAGAATGAAAGGGGGTAAAGCAGCTGAAACTGATGGGATCATGACAGAAATGTTAAAAGCAGGGGGGGATATAGTGTTGGAGTGGTTGGTACTTTTGTTTAATAAATGTATGAAAGAGGGGAAGGTACCTAGGGATTGGCGGAGAGCATGTATAGTCCCTTTATATAAAGGGAAAGGGGACAAAAGAGACTGTAAAAATTATAGAGGAATAAGTTTACTGAGTATACCAGGAAAAGTGTACGGTAGGGCTATAATTGAAAGAATTAGAGTAAGACAGAATGTAGGAATGCGGATGAGCAAGGAGGTTTCAGAGTGGGTAGGGGATGTGTAGATCAAGTGTTTACACTGAAGCATATATGTGAACAGTATTTAGATAAAGGTAGGGAAGTTTTTATTGCATTTATGGATTTAGAAAAGGCATATGATAGAGTGGATAGAGGAGCAATGTGGCAGATGTTGCAAGTATATGGAATAGGTGGTAAGTTATTAAATGCTGTAAAGAGTTTTTATGAGGATAGTGAGGCTCAGGTTAGGGTGTGTAGAAGAGAGGGAGACTACTTCCCGGTAAAAGTAGGTCTTAGACAGGGATGTGTAATGTCACCATAGTTATTTAATATATTTATAGATGGGGTTGTAAAGGAAGTAAATGCTAGGGTGTTTGGGAGAGGGGTGGGATTAAATTTTGGGGAATCAAATTCAAAATGGGAATTGACACAGTTACTTTTTGCTGATGATACTGTGCTTATGGGAGATTCTAAAGAAAAATTGCAAAGGTTAGTGGATGAGTTTGGGAATGTGTGTAAAGGTAGAAAGTTGAAAGTGAACATAGAAAAGAGTAAGGTGATGAGGGTATCAAATGATTTAGATAAAGAAAAACTGGATATCAAATTGGGGAGGAGGAGTATGGAAGAAGTGAATGTTTTCAGATACTTGGGAGTTGACGTGTCGGCAGATGGATTTATGAAGGATGAGGTTAATCATAGAATTGATGAGGGAAAAAAGGTGAGTGGTGCGTTGAGGTATATGTGGAGTCAAAAAACATTATCTATGGAGGCAAAGAAGGGAATGTATGAAAGTATAGTAGTACCAACACTCTTATATGGGTGTGAAGCTTGGGTGGTAAATGCAGCAGCGAGGAGACGGTTGGAGGCAGTGGAGATGTCCTGTTTAAGGGCAATGTGTGGTGTAAATATTATGCAGAAAATTCAGAGTGTGGAAATTAGGAAAAGGTGTGGAGTTAATAAAAGTATTAGTCAGAGGGCAGAAGAGGGGTTGTTGAGGTGATTTGGTCATTTAGAGAGAATGGATCAAAGTAGAATGACATGGAAAGCATATAAATCTATAGGGGAAGGAAGGCGGGGTAGGGGTCGTCCTCGAAAGGGTTGGAGAGAGGGGGTAAAGGAGGTTTTGTGGGCAAGGGACTTGGACTTCCAGTAAGCGTGCGTGAGCGTGTTAGATAGGAGTGAATGGAGACGAATGGTACTTGGGACCTGACGATCTGTTGGAGTGTGAGCAGGGTAATATTTAGTGAAGGGATTCAGGGAAGCCATATAGTTGGACTTGAGTCCTGGAAATGTGAAGTACAGTGCCTGCACTTTAAAGGAGGGGTTTGGGATATTGGCAGTTTGGAGGGATATGTTGTGTATCTTTATGTGTATGCTTCTAAACTGTTGTATTCTGAGCACCTCTGCAAAAACAGTGATAATGTGTGAGTGTGGTGAAAGTGTTGAATGATGATGAAAGTATTTTCTTTTTGGGGATTTTCTTTCTTTTTTGGGTCACCCTGCCTCGGTGGGAGACGGCCGACTTGTTGAAAAAAAAAAAAATTGAAAATATGTAAAAAAAAGTAGATCTACTTTCGTAGCACTACGAATCTGAACGTCGATCTCTTCGGACCGTTTAAGGGTTAAAAGATGTTCCATATTATCCATTTCAGAACTATGATTTTAACAATAATTTTTGACATATAAGATGCTGTAGCCATTCCATATCTTTTATTTTATCTTTATTCTCTATATGTGAACATACTGATGCTTCATTCATTTTCTTGTCACATGATATTTTAGCATACAATGCACTATCTTTATGTTGTTTTATAATTTCTAGTTTATCATCTAATGTTCACCATTTATGTTTACTCATATTTGCATATAAAAGGGGTACCAGTACTTTATATAATAAAAAAAAATTGTATATACATAAGCACTGTTTAAGACCACACAATTTCACTGCTTGGAGTCTGGAGTGATACTGATATTGGCATAGCACTAGTCTGGTACATAGCAGCAGTCCAATATCAGTGCATAATGTAGTTAAATAAAATTTATATTATCAAATTTATAAACCATATTACATCAAAACCTGTACTGTTCAAAACCATACTATGCAAGGTATTACTATATCCTAATTTACAGTTGGAAAATCCCAGAGGGACTGGTCTCAAATCTACACACCAAAATCACTTCATGTGAAAACAAGAGACTTGGCAGACAGTGCAGAACACTATGCCTCCTATAAAAAACAGAGGCATAGTGACTACACTGAAAGAGAACTTGATGAGCAGAGAACTATGACTTTTCAATGCCTACTCTTCATGCAAAAGAGGAATTGACAACAAACCTCTTGCCGTCTCAAGAGGTAACTTGACGAATTCCTCAAATCAACATATAGGCTACAGCTGGGCTGTAGCCTATATGTTGAACTGCTTGCAGCCAGCAGTACCAGACTGGTTCCTCAAGCCTTGATTCACTGGGATGCCTGGTCTAATACCTGGCCATGGAGGTAGATGAACCCTTCCTTAGGTACTAAGGCACAAAGAATTGAGGAAAGGAAACTGATGAGATTGAACTGCACTTTTAGCTATGATAGCGATGTACTGCTATAAGCACAGGTTTGTCTAGATTTAAAAGGAAACTTGAAGACAGAAATATCTTGACTACTGTCTTGAGAACACTCACAACACCAGTAACGCACATACACAGCAGAGGTAAATATACAGTACAGTACTAAATATTCTTCCTAAACAACTTATTATTTTCAGACTTACCACAATCATGGAAATACAATACAGTAAAATCTAGAGTAATTACATATTATAAATTAAGAGAACAAAGTCCAAAAACTAACTTTTCCTGTTCAATGACATAGTTCAGCCTGGGTAGAATTTGGTCAGATGAAAGAGGTCCAAATCTAAATCTGGTGCATCGTGACTGAATGGCTGGGATGATTTTACTGAGGTAGTTGCAGATGAGGCAGAATCGAACATTATCAGTGAACTTTTCAATAACTGAAAAATAAGAGCATTCTGATATTAAAAATATTAATACAATAGTATATGGGCATCATTAAGTAAAGATTAGTGTGGAGAGGGGGATATCTTTCCTGTTACCCACCTAATGATGCCCATGCAATAATACAGCCACTACAATTTGTCAACATTACCAAATTAATGTTGTAGTCACTTTAGGAATCTAATCAGATGATAATATCATTCATTAAAGCTGAAGTGCCAGTTTACTAAAATATGATACTGTACTTAAGAAACTTATAACTTCTGTACTCTGCTATGGTAAAATTCAACATCAATTAAAGAGGCTCCAACAGCTTGTCAGATCCCAAAAAACCATTCGTCTCCATTCATTCCTATATAACATGCTCACACATGCCTGCTGCATGTCCAAGCCCCTTGCACACAAAATCTCTTTTACCCCCTCCCTCCATCCTTTCCTAGGATGACCCCTACCTCTACTCCCTTCCACTACAGATTTATACTCTCTCTAAGTCACCCTATTTTGCTCCAGCCTCTCTAAATGACCAAACCACCTCAATAACCCCTCTTCAGCCCTCTGAATAATACTTTTTGTAACTCCACACCTCCTAATTTCCACACTACGAATTATCTGCATAATATATACACCACACATTCCCCTTCGACATGACAATCTCCACTGACTCCAGCCTACTCCTTGCTATGGCATTCACAGCCCATGCTTCACACCCATATAAGTGTGTTGGTACCACTATGCTTCACGCACATATAAGAATGTTGATACCACTATACTCTCGTACATTCCCTTCTCTGCCTCCATGGATAATAATCCATGGAGAAAAAGTTATAATTTTTTTATCTCCACAGATACCTCGATGCACCGCTCACCTTTTTCCTTCATTAATTCTATGTTTACCCTTGTCCTTCATAAACCCATCTGCTGACACATCTACTCCCAAATATCTGAACACATTCACTTCTTCCATACTCCCTCCCTCCAATGTGATATCCAGTTTTTCCTTACCTAATGCGTTTTGATACCCTCATCACCTTACTCTTATCTATGTTCACTTTCAACTTTCTACCTTTACACACCCTCTCAAAATCGTCCACTAACCTTTGCAACTTCTCCCAAAAGAACAGTATCATCAGGAAAAAGTAACTGTGTCAGCTCTTATTTTCTATTTGATTCCCCATAATTTAATCCCACCCCTCTCCCCAACACCATAGCATTTACTTCTTTTACAACTCCATCTATAAATATGTTAAACAACCATGGTGACATTACACATCCCTGTCTAAGACCTACTTTTACTGGAAAGTAATCTTCCTCTCTCCTACATACCCTAACCTGAGCCTCACTATCCACATAAAAACTCTTTACAGCATTAAGTAATTTATTACCTATTCCATACACTTGCAACATCTGCCACATTGCTCCCCTATCCACCCTATCATATGCCTTTTCTAAATCTATAAATGCAATGAAAACTTCCCTACGGTTATCTAAATATTGTTCACTTATATGCTTCAATGTAAACACTTGAGCTACACATCCCCTACTTATTCTAAAGCCTCCTTGTTCATCTGCAATCCTGCTCTGTCTTCCCTCTACTTCTTTCAATAATAACCCTACCATACACTTTACATGGTATACTCAGTAAACTTTTTTCCTTTCCTTCAACAAACCGGCCATATCCCACCAAGGCAGGGCGACCTAAAAAGAAAAATGAAAGTTTCTCTTTTTAAATTTAGTAATGTATACAGGAGAAGGGGTTACTACCCCCCTTTCTCCTAGCATTTTAGTTGCCTCTTACAACATGAATGGCTTACACAGGAAGAAGTCTTTTCCACTTCCCCATGGAGATAAGAGGAAATAAAGAACACGAACGATTAAGAAAATAGAAGAAAACCCAGGTGGGTGTGCGTGTGTGTGTGTATATATATATATACAGTGAAACCCCAGTTATCAGCCAGTGTGGTTATCGGCCAGTTTGGTTATCGGCCGTTTTTTCGGTGCCTGGTTATCAGCCGTTTGTGACGCGTTCATCCTCTGGCTGGGGCCGCTTGCGCATCAGTTTGGCTTTGTCAGTGGTATTGAGTGATCCACACCATCATGTGTCCTTGGGCAGCGAGTACAACATCCACTTCCACTGGATGCACTACTCTTAACCCTTTCAGGGTCCGTCCCGTAGATCTACAGCTTCACGTGGAGTGTCCAAACCGTAGATCTATGCCAAAATTCTAGCGCTGTCAAATTTAGCGCGAAAACGCTCATAGGCCTACATGTGAGAGAACGGGTCTGCATGGTGGGTGTGCGCCATAAACAAAAAATCTAGACACCTGCATAGCATTGTGGGAACGCTGGCTCAGTTACCCTTGTTCACCATGCCTCGTCGCAAGGCAGCTCTCACTCCAAGGAAAATTGGGACTCTCCTCTTTCTATCCCTGACAATATTCCTGACAATATCAAGGACTACATCGTTGCTCTAGAAAATGAAATCAAAGATATCAAAGCAACACTCGAGCGACGAGAATCCAAGATAACCAACCTCGAGAACAAGATCCAAAACCTTGAAGAGAAGATTACATCGGGAAGTGTTGACACAGAAAATACTCTAAAAGCAGCTATAGCCAGTCACACTGAGCAAATAACAACAATAAATATGAAGGTTGAAGAAGCAATCAAGGACTGGAATCAGAACATGCACACTCGACTAAATGAATACCTTGATTTCCAAGACGACAAAACTGAACAAGATAAGTTGTCTGATGCAGTTATAATAAACAGTCCACACATTCCTAGTGACATAACACAAGCACAGTGCAAAGAAACTGCTATCAGGATAATACAGAACACGTACAAGTCATCGTGCAAAACAATGAAATCAAAGAAACACGTTTGCTAGGAAAACCAGGAAGTAAACACAGTATAATGATCCGACTTCATTCATACGATAAAAGAAAGGACCTAATTAAATCAGCAATTACAATGAAAAATGGAATGTACATAAATGAGTGTCTAACAAAAAAAGTCAAAACCTTCTGTTCAGGCTGAGAAAACTTAAACAGGAAAACAAAATACATCAGTGTTTCACGCGAGATGGAAAAATACTAGTAAGGAAAACATCAACAGGACAACAATATACCATCTCAAACGAACATGATTTCTCTACCTTCCTTAGAAAAGCTGACATTTCTGTAACAGATTAGATAAGTGCCCTTAACCCTTTCAGGGTCCAAGGCCCAAATCTGGAGTCACGCACCAGTGTCCAAGAATTTTCAAAAAAAAAATTTGTTATTTTTTCTTATGAAATCATAGAGAATCTTTTTGTGAAGGTAATAAAACAAAAAGTACGAAATTTGGTGGAAAATTGACGAAATTATGCTCTCGCGAATTTTGATGTGTCAGCGATATTTACGAATCGGCGATTTTGCCAACTTTGACTCCTATTTCAGGCCAATTACATTATTCCAATCAACCAAATTCTTAGCTATTTCACTAGTATTACTTCTATTCTATCAACTGAGCACAAGAAATCGCCAAGTCAACTGTTTCAACTACAAAATAAAGTGATCGGAAATTGTTAATTTGGCCAATTTAACACAAAGTTCAAAATATTCCAATTTCAAAATAGGGTCCAGAATGAACAATGTAGGTATTCCTGGCACTAAACTAACATTTCCTCTGTTCATTAGTTATGTTTTGAGGCTTTACAAATAAATTCCATTTTGATTTTTTATTCACATAATGAATTTTTATTCACACCATAAAATAGAAGATTTACTGTTATGCAATACTGTAATAATTGTATAAATATCATCACCATATTTGTGAATGTATATTAGACCCACCAGGTGACATGTATTAGACGTGTGAGGTCGTTTGTTTACTCTTGAATATCGGCAAAAATTTAACATTTCCGCTACTTTGAGCTCAGTTTCAAGCCATTTCCAATGCTAAAACCAATCAAAATCATCTCTATTTCTGTAATATGTCTTCCATTCTATCAAATGAGACCAAGAAATCGCAAATACAACTATAAAAAACATACGAAAAAACACTGCAAAGTTGCTGTTTTAATCGAAAAATCATGATTCATTTTTTTTCTCTCATTATACACAGTGTGCTGCAGGATCTGTTTTATGTGGTGCACACATACCACATAGATGTATTCTCTCATATCTAGGCCCAAATGTACCACTCACAGTTTATCAGAGTGAGCTGAGCTCATGGCGTAGATCTACGGTTTGGACCCTGAACGTAAAGCCGTAGATCTACGGGACGGACCCTGAAAGGGTTAATACATATATACGTGTGGTGCATATAGTGTACGTTACTATTATATTGTGCATTATTATTTTTATTAATTTTCATCACTAGCTATGCCAACTACCTCCAATACTCTATACTTCTTTCTTACTGCTATTAATTGCTCATAATTTTAAATTACAAGTCAAATCTTACTCCAAATTAATAATATTCATTATTCTTACCTGTCCATTTAATTTTGTTTATCACTACTTGTTTTTTAGTCACTTTTCATTGTGTATGCAATTAGTGTATATTCCAATTACTTTTTTGCAAGTACCAAAACTATCTTTGCTAGCTAGTACCAACTACCTCATTTTTTTTTTACTTTTTATTGTGCAATAAACTGCTCAATTTATTTAATATTACAAATCAGATCTTACTCCTAAACCAATATTATTTCATAGTGACCATCTGTCCATTTAACTTTGTTTTACCATTACCTAATTTTAGTCCCTTATATATTTTCTCCTTTATTTTAGCTTTATATAACTACCCTAGTTTATATATTCACAATTGTTAAAATAATCAAGGTGCTATTTCTCAGGTGCTAAAGTAGAATAAGTTCACAATTTTGCCATTATATTCCAAAGCTCATTTATTTGATTACCACTTTATTGTTCACCAACAACTTATATTAGTCCCTTTTATATTATAAATTTTATACTATAATTCTAACTTTAAAGAATTGCCTTTATAGTACTAC